CCTCCTGACCCCTTGTCGACAGTCCTCTTCCCATTCCCCCTCCCTGCTCAGGGCCCCCAGGGCCTTGCAGAAGTCCCATGCCAGCACAGGGACACTGTGGGGGGCTCAAGTGGCTCCCGGGTTAGTCACCCCCACTGGTCTGCCAGCTCCGTCAACAGCCTCATCGTGGTCTTCACTGAGCAGCAGACTAGGCCAGTGCATAGCAAGTAAATGTTTGTTGAACAAACAGATGGATCTTTATTACTTTCCTCCAGGGACTCACTCACCCCGTCCTGCTCCCCAACCCCAACACACAGCCTGTGACAAAATGAGGCCCCGTGGGACCCCCAGCTAGACTGCAGTTAGGGAACTGTGTGCTTCTGGCTAGGCATTTCCATGTCTCTGAGCCTGGCTCCTACAGCAGCCTCTCTCTGTAATCAAAACAGGACTCATACTATGAGTCTTAGCTTAAACACCGCCTTCTCTAGGAAGCCCTCTTTGATTTCCTCCTCTTCATTCCACATACATTTCTTAAGTGTCTGCACGCTTGCTTGCTCACTGACTGCTGGGAAGGGCCTTGCTGCTTCCCTCCACTGGGCTTTTTTGATGCCTCCTGTTTTACTCCTATGTCTTTGAAATTACATATCACACACATGCAACACATATGCACATAAATACAGCATACACATGCTCACACACACACCCTCCAACAGACAAGTGAGGACTGAGTCTTGCTCATTAGTCCAGAAATGTACAGGAAAAAGCTTCTCAGAAAGGTTTGTTGAATGAAAAAAGCATCGAAGAAAACCAGGCTCACAGCAGGAGAACCGGGGTAAGTCCAAGGATGGAAAGCTAACAGCCTAAGCACGGTGGCTTCTCTTTCCCATGCCCTTACTAGTGACAAAATCAAGGTCCACAGTTTTAAATGTCACAGCTGGGACGCACAGCCAGGTGCATCTGGCTTGGGAGCCCACACCCTCCCCCCCAACCTCCCCCTCCTCAGCCCACCTGCAAATGGAGCGGCAGGGTCTGGGGCTGGCCTCCCCAGGGCTCTATGCTAACCACAGCGAGGCTCCGCGCGCCAGTCATGCCAGCTGCCTGGGACCCACAGGGGCGTCCAGGGCCGCTGAGGGATCAGAGTAAGAGGAACAGCTTCAGCACAGCGCTGGCATTCGGCCTGCCCAGAGTCCATCAGCACAGTGCTGGAATTCAGCCTGCCCAGAGTCCATCAGCACAGTGCTGGAATTCAGCCTGCCTAGATTCCAACGTCCAGCTCTACCTCTGACTCGCTGCGTGACCTTGGGCATGTTATTTCACTTCTCTGTGCCTCAGTTTCCTCACTGGTAAAATGGAAAGAACAAGAATCATGTCTATATTATGAGAGCGTCGTGCCATTTAAATGAGCTGATACTTGTGCCAGCTCCGCAAAGCCAGAGGCAGAGAGCCTGCACTGCATGCCGGGCGGTGACTGTATCGGCCACCACGTGTCAAGCAGCACGGTTCCGCCGCTCTCTAATCCTCTGCCTATTTCATCCCCACCACTAGCCTCTAAGGAAGTATTCATATCCGCATGGGCAGAGGAGAAATCAGAGCTGGCTTGACTTGCCCAGGGTCACCCAGGTCATGAGGGGTTTGGAGCAAGGCTCCAGGCTCCACAGTTGTCACATGGCTCTGCCTTCTGCAGGTCGGAATTACACAGCCAGAGCCAGGTCCCCTGAGGAAGCTGCCCGGAGCTCCCATTCCCCAGGTGGACTGTCTGGGAAGAACCACCGCCCACTGGGCTTGTGGGGGTGAAGGCCTGTGCGAGGTGGTGGGGGAAGGGCGAGCTGGACAGAAAGCCCCAGGTAATGTAAATGGAAACTCTAACCGACAGCCCTGCACCTGGTGTTTTTGCATTTCCCAAGCCAGCTGAAGGGATTGTGTGTGCAGCTCTGAGCTCACTCCCAGGCCCAGGTCAGGTGTGGCCTGGAGGAAGCGAGCCCGGCCCACGTCGTGGGACAGCTGGCCTCCGCCTCCAAGCCACTTCACGTCCCAGCCTGGGAATTCTGCGATGGCGCTTGTTTAAACCCTGTCCCTTGGGTGACCTGGCAAACACCTGGGTGTCTCCCTGACCTCAGCTCTAAACCAGTCATTCCCAGCCAAAGCAGGAGAGCTCTCTCAGCTCCAGGGAGGAAGGGGTGATGCCTGATCACCCCACAGACATGTGAGGGAGTAGAGGGAGGCGCACGGCCACTTGTCCAGCTGCAAACTGCAAAGGTCACATCCACATATTCTCTTCCCTGAAGCCCCTACACATCGCTGGGACAGGAGCCTGTGTCATTCTCTCGAATGACAAATATGCGGGTAGTCTACCCCCAAAATACAGCAATCACAAGGAAAGCGGGGCTCCTGGAGCAGAAAGAATTTGCCCAAGGTCACAAACGACTGGCAGAACAGGACTCGGCCAGGTCTGAACCCAAGGCTCTGGCACTTTCGCTGAGCGTATCTGTACAGGAACTGCAGCTGCTGCCTTTTAGGGAAACCAGCCCCAACATGTGAGCAGGCATCGGCCACCATCTAGGGCCGGCAGCAGAGCACAAGCCAGGCACTGGGGAAACCCCAGGCACACAGGAGCTAGGGTCCCTGGCCTTGAATTACAATAAGTAGGTGAGCTGGGCAAACCGTGTGCAGAAGACCAGAGCCAGCCCCAGCTGTGTGCAGACGGACAGGCTGAGTGTCAGGGACACAGAAGCAGGAGGAGGCATGCAGCCAGCAGGTGCCAGTCTGAGAATGCCGATGCCCACCCCAGGTTCTGGAGAGGACCTGTGTCCAGGGAGGAGGGCAGGCAGCCAGTCTTGCCCTCAGCTAAGACAAGGCTCTAAAACACGGCTACGGGGGGACATCAGCCTGGAGGCCTCCCTGCCCTCATTGGGCAAAGAGCGCCTTTCACAGACACAAACACATGAGCAAGCTGGGCAGAAAGTAGGCCTGTGACTCACAGACTTCTGCGTCCCTGCAGACACAGTGTGCATGCGGGGAGGCATTTGGAGGCACCTCCCACACAGGTGGGCTGGTCTAGGGTGCCCTGAACTGCATCCACTCCCCACAGTAGTCTGAGCCCTCTCCCCACCACCAGAAAAGGCACAGCAGGCAGTGCGATGGGTTTCATCCATCCACCGCTTCCCCAGAATAGACTCCCGCCTGAGGGCTCTTCCCGTGCAGGAGGCTGCTGAACTGAGCTGGCTTGGATCCACGCACCCTCCTGTTAGAACCCTTCCGAGGTGCCTCTGGGAGCCAGATCATGTACTGACAACTCTTCCCAGTAACAGAAAGTTCAAGAGCTAAAAAGGCAAATATAGGCCCGATGTTGGCCAAGGGGCTTAGCGGTTGATAAGAAATGATCTCCGATTCAACTCCCAGCTGAGCTCAGCCAGTCATCTGACTGTCTCTTCCAACCTGTCCCCTGAATTGTGTGTCCCACAGGCCCCAGTTTCTTGGGGTCTGAAGGGTGCCCTCGCCCCTAGCATCAGGTCCCTGTGGTCCAGGTCCAGTCTCCAATGGATCCCTAGTCCCAATGAGGTTCCCAAAAGAGGAGGCGCTTTGCTTGGAGAGCAGCGTGAGTCTGCATTGCCAGCACCCCTCTATCACCCAGTGCACCGCCAGGAGCGGCACCCACAGAGGAAACAGGCCCGTGACACAAAAGCCCCAACAAAACCAACACTGGGTGGGCTATTTTTATCCTCCTAAAGATTTGTCGCAAAGACCACAGCAACTAAAGGGCATCCCAGGCTTTGAGCAGAGCTCTCTGTAGCTCTCACTCCCACGCTCAGTCCCCTCCCTCCCCCAGCCACCCCACCCCCGCCCCCAGCAACTGAGAAAGTGGATCAGGTCAAAGCGGAGCATTCCTCATTCTGCCATCTCCACGGGAAAACTAATTAGTCGCCAAATATTCAGAATGGGTAATTGCTACCTGAATTAATAAGGGCAAACAGCTGGCAAGAAAACAGTGGTTTACTATTTCTGTGTGCTTACCTCTCTTAACCCAGAGTCCAGGCTCTGCAGGAATAGACCCGCTTGCAGCATGAGGCACAACTCCCACCGGGGCTGCCGAAAAGGGGGACACAGCCCTCGAGGGCAGCTCCTGCACTGGGGGCAGCTGAACGCTGCTGTGGCAAAGTTACCCTCTGTTTCCTCTTGCACACACAAAACACACACACATGCACGGACACACACAGGCACACATCACACAAATACACACATGCACGAACACATGTGCACATACATGCACATCACAAACAAGTGAGCACACACCAGCTACACCCTGCACACATGCACACATATCACACATTCACACTACACATGCATGCACACACACCGTCCGCACCCACTGTGCACACACTCCATACACACACCACACACCATCCATACACACACCACACATGTGCGTGCACATAGTCACATGCCACATACACCTAACCACACACACAAAGTACACGTACACACACACAACACACACACACCATACACACACTGACACCCCAGGAACATCCAAGGGTTCCAAGAAGAATGTACCAAACCAGGATTCTCACCCAGGGTTCTCAGCAAGTCCCCCCAAGTTCCTTAGCTCTGGCAAGGGGGCATTTAGAACAAATCAAGAGTGCAGGCAGAGGAGGGAGAAACTGAGGGAAAGGAAAGTGAGATCACGCTTGAGAGGAGACAGACAGCCAGGAAGGCTGGGAAGACACTGGCCACAGCCCCAGTCTCCCCTCCCCCACTTCCCTGAGGCACAGACACTTCAGATGCACCCCCAGAGAGGCCCTCAGCCCCAGCCCAATCACTACCATGCTATGCTGTCTGACCTTAGACAAATCACTTCACCTCTCTGAGCCTAGGCTTCTGCAGATGTAAAAATGAGATGATCCCATGCAATCATTTAAACAGTTCGAAGGCGATGCCCTTCCAGAGGTTTCAGTTCAAGTTTGGGGTCATCGCAGTTACCCCATGCCTTTCAGCCCCTGCCCCATCCCTCCCGAAGCACTTACCTTATTTGAATGAATGCTGATGACTCCACCGCCAGGACTTCCCCTTGAGCAGTCAGCCACAAGTCACTTCCTCTGGGGACAGCCATGACTCTCTGGAGCACCCCCAACCCCATGTCACAGGCAGCTTGGCCCAGAGAACTCCAGCTGGGAAACTGCCATCCAGTCCACACAGGGAATCAGGCTTTGCATCTGGGTGGGTGGCTTGTGTGGCATCTGCCTCTATGGGAAGCTGTGATGGAAAATTAAGTGGGCTGACATTGTGCACACAATGTTTTATTTAACAGCATGTTGTAAGGAGTTCTCACGTCTGTACAGAGAGCTGCCTCATTTTTTTTCTAATGATCATACAATAATTCTATTAAAGGTCTCCATCATAGTCTATTCTGCCGAATACCTTTTGAGGAACATGTTTGGTATTTCCAGTCTTTGACCTTTACAAATGCTTCTGTGGCGTATATGCTTATACGTGCTCATTCTGTATCAACAGAAAGTCCTGTGTGTATAGATATCTCTATATAGCTTTAAAGATTCCTATTTGCATAGAAGAACACTACACACCAAGTTATTCACCTTGGTTACTTCTGAGAGATGATTAGGGAAGAAAACACCTTAAACTTTTTATAAGCAAGTATTGTTTTATAATTTTAATAAAGGAATGAGTAAGGGAGAAAAATCAAATGATGTCACTCTTGTTTAACCTCTTAGAAGTGTTTTTATGAGCTGGATTGAAGCTGGTAGAAGTGGGCCACACAAACACAGTGAGGAAAGCAAGGTTCCAGTGTCGGCTGGAGGGACCGAGAGCCACTCCCTCTCCAGGAGGTCGGCTCCCCTCAGCTTCCAATCTTGGCTCTCTGAACTGAGCGGAGTGCCCTGGCTGGTGCTCCCACCTTGAAGGACTCAGTTTCCCTTTGTATAAAATGGCAAGGGTAGGACCAGCAGCCGGGAGAGCTGCAGTGAGACCAAGTGAGCTAACGCGTGGGAACTGCAGATGGGCTGTCATCAGCACCCCTGTCCTTCCTTGCTTCCTGGTACCTGGCACAGAACACTCTTCTCTCCAAAGAGAACAAAGGAAAGTCAAATTAACTATTGCTTCTCTCCAGCCTCCCACGCCTTGAGGGGCAGGTAGTGAGGGAGGAGGGGGTGGCCATTTACAAACCCAGCAGGCTTTTTCCCTGCTGAGGGTATAAATCTCAAGATGGTTAATCATTGAGACCAGCCCCTTGATGTGATGATCAATAAAATGTCAATAAACCCATTCGATGATATTCTTTTCAAGAGAGACTCAACAAGCCCAGCACAGAAACACAGCAACTCCAGGGTCCTATGAGCAGGAGGATTTTCAATCATCTCAATGGTGTTGATAAAGTGATTTGCCTCTTGGCGTGGATGCATCCTAGGTTTGGGGTGAGGACTCCTGGGGACCCCAAGGGAGATCCAGGAGGGCCAGCAAGAGCATCACGCAGTGAGCCTCACACATGTGCCCCACGGGGTCCCCAAACCCAGACCGTCCTGCACTGTCCTCACTACCCAGCAGGCCACTGAGGTCTTGTCCCAACTCACCTACTGCTGTGGGGCTCTGGCAAATCAACGGCTTTAGCCAAACGCCCCAGTTTCCTCATCTGTTCAGAAACCTCTCCTCCCTGTGGGTTGCTGGGAGGATCAATGAGATGGAGCCGACAGAGGTCACGACAAGAGCTCAGGAAACACCTGCCGTGGCCGCTGTTGTGAACACATGGCCACGGGTCCCAGAGGGCTGTTAAGGTGATCGGGCAGCACCTGTCAGTGAGATGACGCGTACACCATGAAAAATTGACATGCTGACATACATGCACATGACTAAGGACTTTTGTCCCCTTGCCAGAGCCAGCCCTATGATCCTATCCAGAGGAATCCCTATGCTGGGATGGAAGTCACCCAGAATCACCATTGGTCACCAAATGATCTGCAACTCCATTTCCTCCTGCCCTTGACTGGCTCCCTCCTTCCCTCTCCCAGCAGACCCTGAGCCGGGTCCTCACCTGCCCTCTTCCTGCCCCAGAGCACATGTCTTGAGTTCCCAGGGCGCCCAGGAACACCCTTTGGCCCTCTCTCAGGAAGCATTTTGAACATCTCAAGTGCCCTGCTCCGGAAAACATCAAAGACAGGGCTTCCCATCCATCCCACCCTTAAACCCAGTGACCTGTGGAAGTCCAAGTCCAGCCGCACAGTGCCTGGTGGACGCAGCCTGGAATCCCAGCTTTGATCAGCGACTGCCTGGCCCACCAGGCCCCTGCGCCCCAAATTCATTTCTCAGGCAGGTGAGATGGCTCCCCCAATGCAGGTGGCTGAGACAAATTATGCCAGGAATGTGCATATTTATCCCGCTCAATAAAGAATTACATCTCTACAGCCTCTTCCCCCATTTTATTCTGGGTTAATGGGTTCAACATTTTAATTTTAGAAATAATTGCCAACAATGGAATAGCACACACTGGCTCCATGTCGCACAGTTCACAATCTCCCCATGTACCAGGGCAGGAATATTTTTAGGCCCTGTTCAAGTTACCCACCCTGGCAGCAGATGAAATATTAATTAAAGGTTATACTTTCAGCCTCAGAAAATGATTACTCAAGATAGCAATTATATTTCCCCGTTTTTGTGTAATAAAACTGCACCTTGCTGTGAAGAGGAATTAATAATTTTAAGCCCCGTTGTTACAGAGGCAGCATCAAAGCTGAAGGAGAAGGCATATGCCCGAGAGGGGAAACACAAACACGTTTAGACCCACAAAGAGAGTGGCTGACTTCAAAAGAGCAGGATTCTGTATTCAGGGCTGGGATCATTTCTCAAGGTCATGAATGGCTCTAGCTGTCTAAGACAGTGGCCCAATTACAAAGAATACAGAGACACAGAAATTAGAACAGAACATAGTTACAGCTCAGACTCCAAGTTGCTAGGAAGCTCGGCATGGCCCGCAGCCTGGCATGTACCTGGAGCCCATCAGCCAACTCTTCCAGGTTCCTTCCAAGGGATTCGGACATCCGGGGCAGCCAACTGATTCAAGAGCTAACAGTTCGTAGCTTTCCAGGCAACTTCTACAATGAGAAGAAAAAAGACAGTTCAAGGCCTGGAATATAGCAAAGAGTAGCTGCCATTTACTGAGCACCAACTATGTCCCAGGCAAACTCAGTGAGACAAGAATTCCTATGTTCATTTTATAGATAAAAGCAGGAAAGTTCAGAAAGATTAAATGATTGGCCAGGGATAAACAGCAAATAGCAGAATTAGGATTCAAACCAACAGATCCACAATTCCACGAGGACTGGGCTGTGCCAGTCTCCTTTACTGTTGTACCCCCAGGCTCCCTAGCATTGTGTCTGGCACACAGTAGGTGCTCAACAAATTTGACTTATTTAATGAATAACAATTGAACTACTGAACTGATCATCCATGCTTGGAAGACGAAACTGCTACTCAGCAAAAGAGACTTAAAAAAAATTGTCGTGACTTTAAATGAGTCTTAGCATTCAGGGGAGCGGGGTAGGTGGGGGAAAGGGTGAGCACGCAGCTGCGCACAGATCACTCCAGCGGGCGCGCACCAGAACCACCCCCAACGAACACTCGAATGTTCCCCTAGAGGCATTGTCAAATATTTTCCATAAGACAAAATATGAAGTTAGTACATGAAATTAGCAGTATATGGTTTTAGCAACTTATGGCTTATGTTGTTATGTAACCATGAGACAATCAGGCATTTTTCACAAAGCCCCCTCGGGGAAACCTTCTGTGACCATGTCCCATCAGGCCCTGACCCTGAAGGAAGGTCCCACGGTCCTCCCTGCCCTTTAAGCATGAGAATGGAGCAGATGAGAACATCACAGCCTTCCTTTCTGGGACAAGATTGCAGGTGACACAGGAGCAGATATGTGGGCAGCTGTGCCTGCCTTGGACAGAGCAACAGGCCAGACCAACACGAGAGAATTTGCTGACGGACTGCAGGTGGGCAGAGCTGCTGACGCAGGAAGCGCTGAGCTGCCCAGGGTCACCGAGGTGGGGTTTGAGGGCTTCCCCTTTGGAAAGGGGGAAGGAAGCGCTCCCAAGGGCCATGGCAGTGAGGAAAAGGGCCCCAGGAGGCCGGCTCCAGTGAGGACAGGGACTCCCAGTGGGATGGGAGGGCAGATGCCTGGGTGGAGAAATTCTTCAGGTCCGAGGATTCTTCTGGATGTTGCAGTACCACTGTGTACAAGTCAGCAGCTGGGGGTATCCTCCATGATCTGGAAGCTGTGAGGGGGAGGAGAGGTTGTAGGGAGAGGCCGTTAGGAGACCCACCCTCCTACCTCAGGGAGCTCACTAGCTCTTCAAGCAAAGGGTTTGCTGGCACTCAGACTTCCTGCAAGCAGGCAGGCAGCACACCAGGAGTGCGGCCACCACCCAGCACCCAGGCTGGTGAGATGGGGGTGGATGCAGCCAGCGGGAGGGAACTCACCTCTCTTGAGTGTCCAGCAAGGCCGGCACTGTGCTAGGGGTGGAAGCCACAGCCCCTGCACTGAGGACCATGCAGGCCATGGAGAGGGCAAACACAGAAACAGACAAGCTTCCTGCAGCCTGAGTGCAGCCTGGGGCCCTCCACCCACCACCTCCTTCAGGGGCTCAGCTGAAGTGTCCCTGAGGCACCTTCTAACCCTGCATCCTATGAGACTGCCTTATCAGCTCACCCTCTAGGATGAGGACTTCCTGGCAGAGACACAGATAAGCCAAGGCTGGGGCCACTGAGGAGAGGGAGGGCTGAGGGAGGCCAGATCTGAAGATGTGGGAGCCACAGCACAGGGACCCGGCACTGACCTGTGACCGCTGTGGATGCACCCTTCAGGTGCACCAGCTCAGCAGCACTGATCCGGAGAACTCTGGGGAGGCAGTGGGCAGCTCTCTGGCCCCCAGGGTCTACTCACATGCTCCGCTCCAGCGTGCTGGAACTCTGAAGGGGATCTGGGCCATGCTGCGGGCTCCTTCCACTGTTTCAGGCATCACATTGAACCCTGGAGAAAGTTCCAGGCCTAGTTCTGGAAACTCCAGCACATCTCTGAATTTCTCAGGGATTCAGTTTCTTCCACTGGTCTGCAAAGGGAAGGGGGCCAGCTCAGTGCCAAGGCATGATCTAGGTCTGACACTCTGTGATTCCATTTCATTTCTTTAAATCCCTTTTTAAAGGGATTTAAAGGCCCTACACTCACAGGATGGGCCCATCTCTTTTGCCCCAAGTCCTCACACTCCAGAGAAGGCATCTGAAGCAGTCTGCTCCTTCTGATGCAAAATAAATCCACGGACACTCATCCTCCCTGGGCACCCAGGCCCAGAGCCCAGAGAACAGTGGCTGCCTGGAGGCATCAACGCCACCAGCCTCTTACCCCCTCCACCTCCCTTTACGTCCTTCCCTAGGCTTGGCTAAGGAGGCAGCAGGGAAAAGAGGTGCAATTGCAGGAGAGAAGAGGAGGGCGGCGGACGCGGCTGGACCCAGGGGGCTGCAGGAGCTGGGACTCCGCACCGCAGGCTGGGAAATGCACTTTCAGCCTCAGCTGAAACCCATGCACAGAGTTCCTCAAGAAGCCTCTCAAGACCCTCACGGGCATCAGAGCATACTAGGTGCTGAGGACAATGGCCTGCAAGCTTCACATGACAAATTGAGGCCCTCTGTCCCCACTCTTCCAGCAAATTGAGGCCATTTTCCAGGAACAGTGAAGTCAAAGAAGCTGCTTTTTTCACATTACTCAGAAACAGGCAATGCCTCCAGTCACAGATGCCAGCCGTACACAGGGGCCATTCTGAAGGCAGAGCCAGATGCACCACCAGTCCAGAAGCCCAGAGAAACTACAACCAGCGCTACCTCGGCTTGGGGAGCACGCACCTGGGGCTTCCTGGGGGACAGCCATTGTAGGAAAGGGGGCCTTTCCTTAGCCAGCATCCCTGCTTCTTCTTCCACCACCTTCCCTCTGTGGAGCTGCTCCCGGGAGACCTGGGGCCTCAGCCAGCATGGGCAGGAACTCCCAGAGGACACGGGAAGGACTCCTGCAATTCGGACTAGAGGTATGGGTGCCCTGCAGCACAGGGCCTATGAGGAGACAAGCAGCTCAGCTTCACAGGTGGAAGGAGGCACGCACTTCCTTCCAGGACAGCAACCTGAGTGGTTTGTCCCTGGCCTGGTCAGGTAGAGATGGGGTGAGGCTGCTCCTGGGGAGGAGGGGCACCTCTGCCCAAGCCCCTCTCAGGGGAGAAGACAGGCATCCTACACACCCACGTCCTCCATCCATGAACATTTACTGATCCCTCAGTAAGCTCCAGGCCCTGTGCTAGGGTTGGGGTGGGGGGGTGGGATCAGGAGCTCATAGACCAGATAAGAGCAGAGAAAGCTGTAATTAAACTACCGGATGCCGAACAATGACCAGCCCAGGTCAGGGCACAGACTCGGGGCCTCTGCTTGAGCAGCAGAGGGCCTGGGGCTGGGGCTGAGCAGGGTTGCAGGGGAGCGAAAGGTCGAAGAGAGGGTGTGGCCGTGCGGGTCCCGCCTAGCCAGGCACGAGAGCACTCCAGGTGGGAATGTGCCACCCCAACCCCGGGCACCCCCTCCCCCCGGGAACCAGGCGCCCGGTGACACAGGCCGCCCTCTTTGAGGGCCTGGATTGAGGAAGTTGGGGTCAGAGCTCCAGACTGGAGTCCCTCTTGCTGAATTCCCCTTCCAGACATCAGAGGCAAAGAGGAACCCTCATTCAGAGACCACCTGCACCAGCGCTTCCGGGCTGGGTCAGAAAAACAGGTTGTCCTCGCCGCCCGCGCCGCGCTGGCGCCTGCAGCAGGTTCCTCTTCTGGGCCCTAGCACGCAGCCAGAGCTCCGGGGAGGGGAGTGCAGCCCGCGGGGGCGGGGCCAGTCGAAGCCCCGCCCATTGCCCTGATTCTGCCCCGCCCCCGCCCAGGCCTGCCCACTGCCGTGCCATGCCACGCCCCCTCCCGCTCCCCTCGCAGTGTTACATTCAAGGCCCTGCCCACCGCTCCTCCCACACTCTGGCCTCTGGGAGGGCCTCCAGGTTCACCTGCCCAGCCTCACCCCCCACCATTTGCTACTCCACACGCACCGCCTCACGCCTCCAGGCATCCAACCGGCCT